GGCTCCTGATCCGTTTTCGCTCGACGCCCCATCCACGTAAAGCTTCCATCTTGCAATCTCGGTTTCTTCAGATGGGGTGTAGGTTGGCCTGTGAGAGAATTCAGCCAGAAAGTCGGCGAGCGCTTGACCTTTAATAGCGGTTCTCGGCATGTATTTTATATCAAACTGGCTCAGTTCTACCGACCATTTGAGGAGCCGTCCGGATGTTTCCGGCTTTTGTAAGGCCTGTCTTAACGGGTGGTTTGTGAGAACTCGTATCGTGTGGGATTGGAAGTAGTGCCGAAGCTTTCTCGAAGCTATCATTAAAGCGATGGCTAGACGTTCCATTTCGCTATATCTCGACTCGGCGACAAGGAGTCTTTTACTCACATAGTAGATTGGCAATTGTACCTTCCCTTCTTCCTTTATTAGTACGGAGCTCACGGCATGTTGGGATACGGAGATGTATAGGCTGAGCTCTTCGTCATTGTTTGGTTTTGACAAAATTGGAGGTTTGTCCAAATGCTCCTTCAGTTTTTGGAAGGCCTCCTCGCACTGTGGCGTCCATTCGAAGTGTTTGTTTCCTCTCAAAGCGTCGAAGAAGGGGACACACTTGTCAGTGGCTTTTGATATGAATCTATTTAAGGTGGCGACACAACCTGTCAATCTTTGCACCTCTTTTGGTTTTGTTGGTGATCGCATATCTTGCAGAGCTTTGATCTTCTCAGGGTTGGCCTCAATTCTGCGATTACTGACCATAAACCCGAGAAACTTTCCCGACCCGACTCCGAAGGCGCATTTCTGGGGATTAAGTTTCATGCGGTATTTTCTCAATATGCCGAACATTTATCCCAAATGATCGACGTGATAGCTGGCCCTGGCGCTTTTTACGAGCATGTCGTCGACGTAAACCTCCATCGTTTTACCGATCTGCTGAGCGAATATTTTATTCACTAGCCTTTGGTAAGTAGCCCCTGCGTTCTTTAGGCCGAAAGGCATTACTTTGTAGCAGTAGAGGCCCATGTCGGTTATGAAAGATGTGTGCTCTTCGTCGGCTGGATGCATGGGGATTTGATTGTATCCGGAGTAAGCGTCCATGAAGCTTAGCATTTCGTGCCCCGCCGTGGCGTCGACCATTTGATCTACTCGAGGGAGTGGGAAGCCGTCCTTTGGGCATGCTTTGTTGAGGTCGCTGAAGTCGACGCATGGTCTCCAGTTCCCGTTGGGTTTGATTACCAAGACAGGATTAGATACCCAACGTGGATAATGCGCCTCCCGGATAAATCCATTGTTGACTAACTTGTCGACCTCTTCCTTCAGCGCTTCGTACCTCTCAGGGTTCATTGGTCGCCGTTTTTGGCGTTTGGGAGGATACGTGGGGTCGACGTTTAGGGCATGACTCATTACTTTGGGGTCGATCCCCTCCATGTCGGAGTGACTCCAGGCGAAGACATCTAGGTTCTACCTGAATAAATTTTCAATCCTGCTTTTGAGTGGTGGGGTCAAGTCCGAACCTATTTTTGTTGGCCCAAGGTTGAATATTCTCATGTTTTGATGATCACAAACACAATGTATTATGTCTCTAATGATTCTATTTTGAGTTGTGTATTTAGCGTAATTATTGTTATAAATCAACTCAAGAAGCATTTTGAGGAATACAATGCAAATACATTCAAGATTGACAAATGCAAATTGAAGAAGGAATTCAAGGCTTGAAGTGCTAAAATACCAAAGAATCAAAGATCAAGAGCAAGCAAACACTGGACAAGTACTAATAGGTTTTTTTTTAATATCTCCTTAGTCTTGTATTTGATTTTGACTTCATACTGTCATGATTAATTCTTGTTTTGGCTCATGCACACACTCACATTATTCTTTAAAAATGAGACTAAACTTAGTGCATAATGACATTTGGCCTAAAAGTACAAATGTGTGAAGATTTGAGGCAAATTAAGTGTCATCCGGTCGACCTACGTCGTCCGGTGACAGAGAAGGCTAAATGCACCGGTCGACCGGTGATGCCTCAACCGGTCAACCGCTCCGGTCGACCGGTTCTGTTCAACAGACACTCCGTAAGAATGTTGAACAGCATGAATTCAAATTTGTATCAACCGGTCAACCGCTCCGGTCGACCGGTACTGGGTAAACGGGCAAAAATATGACCGTTGGTAAAAGAGTTTAAATAGAGAAAAGCCATTTTTTCTCAACAGCTATCCTTGTGAAAAACAGAGAACGAGTTCAAAGTTTCAAATTCAAAAAGAGAGTTCTCCTTTGTGTCCACATAATCATCATCTTCTCAAAATCCCTAACTCTCTCACATACATTTGAGCCTAACTTGAGTTATATTGTGATAAGGTGAGTTCATCATCTCCTAGTGATTTCAAATTGTGTAAAACCTTTGTTAGGAGAGTGAAACTAAGTGCTTCATTACTCATAATCATTACTTTGGTATTGGGTTACTTGGTTGGTCGATCTCCGTGAAAAATCGACATTGTGTAAGAGGTTAGGCGAAGCCTCAGGTAGAAAAGATTCGCCTTCTTGTAAGAGGAGTAATCGTGCCGGAAAGTCGATTGAATAGTGAAAGAGGTCGAGAGGCGGAATATCTCGGCGACAGTGGATGTAGGCAAATTCATTTGTCGAACCACTATAAATCTCGTTTGCATCTCTCTAACTCTATCTCTTTAATTTTCGCACTTCAAATTTAATTGCTGACATTGATTGTCTTAACTCATCGTGATAAATTTATTGAACTCTTTTTATCATATTAGATTGGTCTATTTCATGTAAATCAAGTGATTGAGCTATTGTATTAACTTACATAATTTTCTGTACACCAAGTGTTTGTTAAAGGTTATTTGTTCAATTAATTGCCTATATTTAGTTTAATCTTTGAAGAATCATATAAACTCTAGAAAAATATTTAAAACCCATTTCAATCCTGCTTTTGAGTGGTGGGGTCAAGTCCGAACCTATTTTTAGTATTTTGGTGGTTCCGCTTTCGTTAATCTGGATCTCTTCCAACTGTTCGATGGGCTGAGACCAAGTAATTTCCTCTTGGACCCGGGGGTCTATATCCTCAATGAGGCCTTGTTGAACCATCCTCGTTTCCTGTCTTCCCGGCTGGTCATATCCGCGTAAGGCATCGGAGTATGCGACCCTGGCTTCGTACTGGTTGCTCTTAATTTCTCCTATGCCGTTTGGGGTGGGGAATTTGACTTTTTGGTGGTAGATGGAGGTTATTGCCTTTAATGCCTGGAGGGTTGGTTTCCCGATTACTGCGTTGTATTGGGAGCCTCCTTTAATGACCACAAAGTTGGCCATTGTTGTTGTCTGTCGGGGTTTTTCTCCGGCTGTTATAGGTAGTCGGATAGTGCCTTGAGGAATGACGGAGTCTCCCGTGAACCCGTACAGCGGCCTGGTGGTTCTTTCCAACTGCCCCTCGTGGATCCCCATTTTCTCCAAGCAGTCGGAATACAGGAGGTCCACCGAACTTCCATTGTCCACCAAGATTCGACATACGGTGTGGTTTTCGATCACTGCTTCTACCACCAGTGCGTCGTTGTGGGGGAAATGGACGCCACGTCAGTGCGGCTTTGCCTCGGGATTTTTACGGCGGAGACGTTCCAGAACCTTTCCTGGTATACCCCTTAGCCTCCGTGGGCGTAGTCCTTCTGCGACCTCCGCGTGTCTCCTCCTATGTAGGGGCCGCCGAGGATCGTTCGTATGACGCCGACTGGTTCCCGATCTTCCGAGCGGTGGTTCTCCTCTCGGCGTCGACCGTCATTTTGCCTGCCATGGCCGTTGTTGCGGGGTCTTCGTTCGGCCCTGAATTCCTGCAGCCTTCCCTCGCGGATTATTCTTTCGATTTCATCTTTGAGGTCAGCGCAATCATTCGTGTGGTGGCCGACCTCGCCATGGAACCTACAGAATTTCTTCTGGTTCCTTTGGTTAGGATCCGACTTCATTGGTCCAGGTCGACGCAGTAAGTTTCCTCGGCCGATCTGGTTGAAGATTTCCTCGACGCCTACTGTCAGTTCATGGTAGGTGTCGTATTTCTGAAACGGTCAAGGCTTGCGGGTATCCTCCTGTCTTCGCTTCTTGGCCTCCGGCGTTCCTTGCGTCGGGATTGGTTGTTTGTCTCCGCTTCCTCAACGTTTCTTCCCGTCGTGCTTTGATGATGCCGACCCCTGCTCGGGTCCTTTACCTTTATTGGACCTATGATCGGGGTCGTTGGCATCCGCCTCTTCAGCATTGATGTATCCTTGCACCCTTGTAAGGAACTCTTTGTAGCTGGAAGGGGGTTTTCGGTTTAGTTCCCTTTTGAAGGGAGTTATCTTCTTCATACTGGATAATGCTCCCATCAGGGCTTCCCTGTCCGTGATATCCATTGTAGCGGCGACGGCCTCGCCGTATCTGGCGAGCCACTCCCTTAACGTCTCATTTGGCTTTTGATATATCGTCGTTAGGTTCTGCTTCGGGGGTATGTACTTTTTAACCCCGATGAACTGGAGGGAAAATGCTTCCTTTAGTTCATCCCAGCTGGAGATAGAGTTTGGCTTCAGCGTTCGGAACCATCTTCTGGCAGAGTCTGTCAGGTGGTTCCGAAAGGCTCGGCACATGATCTCCTCGGCGTATCCCGTGCAAGAGCATGTGCCCCGTGTACATTTCTAAATGGTCGTCGGGATCTCCTCATCCATCGTAAGACGGAATCGACGGCGACCTGTATTTATCGGGAGAAGGGGTGCCATTATCTCTGTGGTGAATGGATGGTCATGCGTATGACTGGGCATAATGTCGACGTTCATCACCTCGGCTACCCGCCCGATGTTCTTTCTCAGCCCTGCGACGTCCCCGGTTAGTCTT